ATTAATTTCTTGATGACCTAATATATTCCCTTTACTTTGAGTGAGGATGTTTTATAAGAGTGACTGTCAAATCCTTAGCGTGGATGGTGGGTGCTATTGACTGGCTTATTTTCAAAGTTTCCCCACAAAACAAATAAGGGCATATAAATAATGTAAAAAATATTTTCTTACGTTTTCTAGTTTTTATGGTAAGGAACACATGTGTCAGGTCATTTATTAATAAAAAAAAATAGTGTCATTTACGTCATGGAATAAATTTGTAATGCCTTAAGACACAATATTTTCATTTCTGTTCATCTGACAGAGAAAGTGCTAATAACCATAACTTTCTCTATGACGGGCCCGGCATGGCCAGGTGGTTAGGGCGCTCGACACACAATATAAGGGTCACGGGTTTCCACCAAATCTGCTAGCCCTTTCAGCCGTGGAGGCGTTATGATGGTCAATCCCACTATTCATTGGTAAAAGAGTAGTCCAAGAGTTGGCGGTGGGTAGTGATGAGTAGTTGCCTTCACTATAGTCTTTCACTGCTAAATTAGGGGCGGATAGAGCAGATAGTCCTCGTGAACTTCAAAACAAGCAAAATTCAAAACAAACAAACAAATTCTCTATAGCCGCGCCCTTAAGTCGAGGGATTTTTAAGCTCAGTTATTGAAATATTTCAAATATTGTCAATTAATCAACCATGACGGCTGAGATACCATTTAGATTAATATATGAGTGCGTTTCCTTGAAAAGTTCCAATTCTTTAAAAAATTACAGTTATCTAGATATGTATCTATTTAGTGTTTTTCAAAAATTATAACTCATCCAACAGAAGTATCCTGTGGAAATTCCACAGGTTTAGTTTGAGGCATAACTTTAGAATGAAAGGAATTTCTTTTTAATGATATATAATACTCTACTAAAGAGAGCTACGAAAAGTCTAAGACCATAGTGAGTAACATGCAAAAATCTTCAAACACTAGATGTTTAAGAAATACTTGAACATAGCACTACATAAATGTTAACGTTTTCCCGTTTTAAGTAGGGAGTAAAGCTTTCTTGACATTGAACCATGTATGTGATATACTCAGTTTTAGGGTTTTTTGTAGTTCCATATTGTTTGCCACTTCTTCATTACAGTTAAATTAAAACTTGGGTTTGAATTTCGCGCAAAGCTACACGAAGGCTACAAATGAATAGTAGGATTGACCGTCACATTATAAAGCCCCTATGGTTGAAAGGGTGAGCATGTTTGGTAAGACGGGGATTCGAACCGTCGACCTGCAGATTGCGAGTCGAAAGCCCTAACCGCATGGCCATAAAATTTGGATTATATCATCAAAGAGTGTTGCAGTAAAACTACGTTTCTAGTATGAGTTTCATATAGAAATACAGTTACAGAATCGAGTAAAAACAGATCAAACCTTCCTCTTAATCAAGCCTTATAAAAATCATATCGGTGAATTTCAATATATTTTAAGGATATTAGAAGTAGATGTTCTTTCACATTTAAACTGACAAGAAACCTTATTTGTTAAACGGGGAAGGCTAGGATTTTGTTAATACATTGGTCCACGTTATTCCTTGGCTAATTTTATGTGGGTCTGAAAACCTTATATTAATAACTGAATATGCTTTGCATTTTTACCATTTTACTGAAAACGTTACAGGAAATAAATAATGAAAGAGTGTGACATTTGTTTTTTAAACAAAGAGAAACTATACTTCATATACAAACAATTAGTTTTAGTGCCCTTTTTTATTCCTTACAAAATTTTTACAGATAGTTTTCTATTCTTCAGAAAGTGCATTTGAAGGAAAAGTGTTGTTACAAAATTTTACTCTATCGATTTCAATCAACGTCAGTTGAAAATGACATTTTACGTATATTTTGCGAAATATATACAACTTGATTCAACGTTGATTATTTGAATAAAGTACTTTTATTTTTTCAGAGTTTAAGGACAAAAAAGAGATACGTTTTTAACTTTGGCTAAGGCAAAAATCCCTTTTGAAGGTTTGAAATAAATTGATCATAAAAGTATGTATATACTACGGACATATATATATTTTATTTCTAATATCCGAGAATCGTGCCATCAGTCAATGAAAACTAGCCTCAGGTGTTGAGGATTATTGAGTACTTCATTTTTGTCATTATAGTATATTTTTTTCAATAAAAGTAATATTTGAAACTAGCTTTAGCCAATTTTCTTCGTCATATTGGATAAAATTCGCAGCTGAGTTCGACAAAAATTACTTTAATATGTTTTTGTTTTGTTTAAAGAAATGAATATAATATTTCAGTAATTCCTGTTTCATATTTCAATTTCTTGTAGAATGTGGTAAAATATTCATAATGTTTAATGAAAAGATCAGTTTTCGTCGAGAGCTTTTAAATCCAACATATAAAAAGTATGGGGTTTTATTACATCTAAAACAAAATTACAAGCCTACTAAAATGTACTTTTCTACTAAGCGAACCGTAGTTAACTATATCAAAATATAATCCTTTCCTTCATAAAACCAACCATTTTAATAGCTTTACTTTACCCACAGTTAATAATATTGTTTTTATAAAAAAATCGTTCACGAGTTCACAGCCAATGATAGACGATTCTTAAACAATTAGTTAATTAGTCCATTGACCAATCGTACGTTCCATATTATGACTAGATTAGGATAAATGATAACAAGTGATGCTGGGCACTTGATTTTTTTGTTTTTCAGTACAAACTTTAAGTGAGTAAAGTAACGAGTATACTAGTAATCTGGGCTGGTAATCTTTGGAAGAAACATGATACATCGAAGTAGAAGAAAATGGTAAAATTATGAAAGAAAACACTTCTATTACATATAAATATTACATCTTAAACAGTTCGTTTTTTCCCGCTTTTATGCTGTGCAGTTAGTGAAAGAAGAAGGATTTACACACATGAGGAGAAGGCGTACGATACATAATCACATTTTATATTATAAATAAATTCGATTTGTTCGTTTGGAATGGACCCTTGGGAATTTTAAATTAGTTTACAGTCCAAACGCTTTTCAAACTTTAACTAACAAAGTTTGTTTTCTGCCTAATTTGGGCATTGGAGCCTCGAGAATTGAAATGTAAATGGAAACAATGGCTTTAAAAATACGTACTGTTTTTACCTACAAGATGACATTAGTTTTTTTCCATTGGTAGGTTTCATGATTTTAGAATAAAGCGAATGGTCTTTTTTGTTTTCATTAATCATGTATTCTTCAATCTGAATTCAGTACGCTAAAGTTTTAGTGTAATCAACGTTATATTAAACTTTAATCGAAAGTTACTTCTACATTATTACATAGAGAGTAATAACAGGCTAACCAGAACAAAGCAACTCTACTAGTAACAGTGCATGCGAATTTTACGAGATGTTTAATTAGCTAATAAATATAACTTTTCTTTAAATGACATTGTACATTGCTTTCTGATTTTTTCATGAAAAACTGGGCTACATTCTAACAAATATAAGAAAAATGTTGCCACATTTAAAAGATTTACATTATAAGCATTTCAAACGCAAGTATATTCACTCATTTTATGATAAATTAATTACAAGATCAACTTCCTAAGCAATTAAAGAACTCTTTACTTACAGAATCAATTACCTGTCTGTAAGCAACTTGAAGCACGAGTACAGATTCCTTGTTGAAATACTATTCAAAACATAGTAGAAAGTAAATCAAATACAGTAGCTTTACTTTTATGACACAGATCATGCTACCTCGCTCTTTAATGTAATGTGATCATTGAGCTCTCGACATGTGCTACCAAATTCCAACGACTCAAGTTTACCTTTTGAGTCTTAAGCGATAAAATGTACAATGATTCGAGGTTTGTATTTTCAGTTAGTGTTTCGAATTCATTTGCTCCACTTATCCAATCCTTGAAACCAGATGCTGTGTCTTCAAATCTCAAATAATGCTGTACAGAAAACAACATAATATTTATATTACAGTTTCCACGAAAAAAGGAAATAAAGATAGAGACCATTATCTGAGATCAGTAAAAATCTAATATAGTTTACAAGTAAACATATTCAGAAACAGGTCGGCTTTTTAATAAGATGTATAAAATTCGTGAGACTAGTAATAACGGAGCAAAATATTTTTTTTTTCTCATGTAAGTTTTAAAAACTAACTGGGAGAAAATCTTTAATGAAGCAATGAAGTCACAGTGAAGAAAATAACAGTCTAATTTCTTATAAAGATAAAAACAGAGCAGAAACAATTATACGTTTAATCGCACTTCTAAAATTGATACAGCTATCGTTACGAGTTGCAGACATAATACCCCTCTGTTTTTATGTATCACAGCTCGTGTCCTTAGGAACGAACGAAATGTGAAAAATATTGTGGCAATCATTGTTCACATTAATGAATGGGTTAGCTTGTCAGATACAATGCATGGAATGAATTCTCGGACTGTCGAAGTGAAGACAAAAGGACAACCCTAATTTTGCTGGTCCGTCTAACTTTTCAGCTCCTTCGTAGATCTAGTTAAGCCTATAGTTTTTCTTCTTTATATTTGCTGTGGCTAAAGTTGGTCTGCACACAGTGACTGAACAAAAGCTAGAGTGAATGACCAGCTCCACAACATCATATTCCAGAGACCTTTGGTATTAGATTCTGAAAAAAAAGAGTAAATGTTTGAAAACAACAACAATAAGATGAAATGCACTGTGGTCAATTAGAAGAATTGCATTAAGATACTGATCCTTTGAAAACAAATATTAAGAAATTGTGAATTTCATCAACACACATTTAATGGGGCATAAAATTCGTGAGAATATTCTGTGTTTGTAAAGAAAAAATTATTTATTCATTACGATTGTATTTACGTAGTCAATACTGGTAATTTTTCAAGGGTGTAGTGATTAGCATTTACTTGTATTTATTCTACTAGCTTCCTTGGGAAAGATCTACTCTGTATCTCTATGCAATCAAAAAATTTGTGAAGTTAAGCGTCACATTATTTTCTGAATGAAGTACAATAGACACACAATGATATGAAGAATCTTAAAAAAATGAAACAAAAGCCAAAACAACCGAACTTCTAGTTCTTGGTAATGAATGGTGAAAAGTCATTATCCAACATGTTCTTTTATTTTCCTAACTCTTTAATGTACTGTGAAGGTTGCGAAGGTCTAGAAATTGTATTTTCTGTTTAAAGTATAATAAAAATAAAAATAACACATTGTTGGCTAATTGTCATGTCATTTATTTAGCATAACTGTTTAGTCGTACACACTGATGGCAGATAGCTTTCAGCCACTCCACATTAAATTTTTAGTGCAATGTCTAATAAACAATTAAACTCAAGCATAAGCGACAACTTTAAATAACATCGCTTAAGAACTTTCCCATAAATTACTTTACCCAACTTTTATATTCATTTTATATTAATATCAATTAGCGTTTAGGCAGAGAAGATATATAAGAAACAAAAACGAACTATCACTGCCTTTTACTTTCGAATCCATTTAATTCTGAGGTTAGGTTTACAAATAATTATATTCACTGTATAAGTATTTTTCTAGTATTTAAACAAATTCAACCGTTAGTATATTAACTTAGTCTCAATACAGAGTGTCCGAAAAGTCCATAGGTGATTTGAAGCTTTCTTAAATTCAGATACATGACTGATTATGGCACTGTCCAAGCATGAGAAGGTCGAGTTAATCCTGCTGTTAATCCAAACTTGTTTCGAATTACAAGGGCAGCATAGTTCCTATGGTCCCAGACTTTTAGGACATCTTGAATAAGTATTTTTATTTACTCAATCAAAATATAATTATTTTGTATTTAACTTTATACATTAATTTATGCAGTCGATACGTCATTAGGAATACAATATTAGAGATTCTCTAATCTCAAACTCCTAAAGCAGAAACCTGCTAGATAAACGGTTCTCTCATTGGACGTTTATAAAAGCAATATCTCAAATCATTGTTTTACGTTATAACAACAACTCCGCATAGTAAGCTGATCTTAAAGCATAGTGAGGTTTTGGTTTTGTTGTAGAACGTTTGTTATTTATTACTTATACCAAGAGCACCCATACAGCAGTATAGGCCTTGTCTCATAAAAAAACAACCAAAAAAATTCTGGCGTTTGTTTCACACAGACAAATGCAAATGAAAAATATAATGTTAGTGAGAAATACATTTTGTAACCGACATAAATCTTTACCTTTTCCGTTACTTGCTAACACGTGGAGGCCGGAGCTATGCTGTGTTCCACCAATTATCACCTTCTGATTTTTAGTATCCAACACGATGGACTTGGTGGAGGTACATTTTATCCTTAAACCTTCAGACAGCAAGTGGGTGTGGGTCAAGCGGAACTTCAATCCAATCAAGGAAGACATTACACCGTCTTTATAAATAATTGGTGGATAGTTAATGACGTAGAAATGACTAGCCTGTAATAAAATGCAAAATAAAATCTTAGGTTAAGAATACCTGCTTCTACTTAGCTCGTCTTAACGCATCAAATGTGAGTTTTATGAATATTTATTTACATTTCATCCATATAAAATAGAAAATAAAAAATTTCAGACATTTTATTATCATGAGTAGGCTATTCCAGATATCTGAATGTCCTTTAAACACATAATGTCAGAATATAAATAGCATGTGTTTCGTCATAAATACAGCAATGTAGTAGGAAATAATAAATAATGAAGTAGTCATGGGCAGAATAGAAATCAACGCTTCGTATGCTAGTTTATATGGTCAAAATATACAGGTTATGCAAGACGAGCTTCAGCTCTAATGGATAGGGATATATAGTTGTAACAACAAGTTTTCTAGAGATTCACAAGGTTCATTGCTGTCGTACGAAATAAACATTTGCTCTATTTTTACTGTCACGAGACATTAAACATATATAAGTTTGTTCTTATTTCATGGCTTCAAGTTCTTCTATTAATGTAAAATAAATTTAAGTTATTTAACAGGTTTGATATAGGGTATGTAATAATGTTATTTTTTGCAAATGAAAACGACGATTAATTCTGTAAGGTTTAATAAAACATTCAACTGATCACGAAATGCATAAGTGTAGGGCGTTTTCATTTTCCATTCTTTTCCTAATCCTTTCTTTCTAAATACGTGTAACCACGTGGATATTTGAATATTTCACTACTACAAACTTAACTAGAAAACATATTCTTAAGTAAATTTAAGAATATTGACTGGACCAGTCAAGAGCGCGAAAGACATCCATAAAAATTTTTCAAGGAAACCCATTAAACACGCCAAGGATAGCTCAGAATCTAATTATGGTAAAATCATTCAAGAATACTTACTAAACTACCAAGGATAATACAGAGTCTTATTAAGATAAAAACATTCAAGGATACTCACTAAACCCATCAAGGATAGAATATAGTATTATTGTGATAAAAACATTCAGGAATACAAATTAAATATGTCAGGAATAGAAAATAATCTTATTATGGTAAAAACATTCAAGGACACTCATTAATCCCGCCAAGGATAGAATAGAATATTATCATAGTAAAAACATTCAAGGATACTCACTAAACTCGCCAAGGATAGAATAGGATCTTATTATGGTAAAAACATTCAAGAATATTCATTAAATTCACCAAGGATAGAGTAGAATCTTGTAATGTTAAAAACATTGAGGGACACTCACCAAACACTCCAAGGATAGAATAGAATCTTGTAATGTTAAAAACATTGAGGGACACTCACCAAACACTCCAAGGTTAGAATAGAATCTTGTAATATTAAAAACATTGAAGGACACTCACCAAACACTTCAAGGTTAGAATAGAATCTTGTAATATTAAAAACATTGAGGGACACTCACCAAACACTTCAAGGTTAGAATAGAATCTTGTAATATTAAAAACATTGAGGGACACTCACCAAACACTCCAAGGTTAGAATAGAATATTGTAATGTTAAAAACATTGAGGGACACTCACCAAACACTTCAAGGTTAGAATAGAATCTTGTAATGTTAAAAACATTGAGGGACACTCACCAAACACTCCCAGGATAGAATAGAATCTTATTATGATATAAACATTCAAGGATAGAACAGAATTATAATATGGTATGTTTCGATACTTTTCATTACACATAGATTAAACAATTTGACTTGCGTTTTATATATAGATTAAATAGTTTGACTTGCGTTTTATATATAGATTAAACAATTTGACTTGCGTTTTATATATAGATTAAACAGTTTGACTTGAGTTTTATATATAGATTAAACAATTTGACTTGCGTTTTATATATAGATTAAACAGTTTGACTTGAGTTTTATATATAGATTAAACAATTTGACTTGCGTTTTATATATAGATTAAACAATTTGACTTGAGTTTATATATAGATTAACAATTTGACTTGCGTTTTATATATAGATTAAACAATTTGACTTGAGTTTAT